ATATATATATATATATATATTGTATTAAAAAAAATGTATTATTAAGTAGTATCCAAATCTGTAGCATAAGTGATCAACTTCGGAAATCTTTAATGTTAGAGAAACTTAATTTCTCCAGCCAGAAAATTAGCAAAACGAAAAAAATTTCAGAAAACATCGTACATTACTACCAGTGTCACAGCTTAACAACCAGCAAAAATTAATCAAAACTTAAAAGACAAAAAAGCGAACTGCTAACTGCTGGCAACTAATAAAACAATCAAAGCCTGAGAGTGATAAGGACAGCAAATAAAAGTAAACACTTTGTACGTTAGGTACAAATAACTACAAATAACAGTAAAGAACGTAAGGAAAAGATACGTGACTGAAAAAGACTAAATTAGTTAGACGCTAGAAAAAAAAAAAATAAAAAAAATAATGTTTTTGCTGCTTCTCTTCCAAAGTCATTTGTACATCAAAAGATCTTTTGATACTTATAATGCAAACAAAACGCTTAGGTATTTTCCAAATATATTAACAATTAATAAAATTTAACTCTCTGTAAAAAACTAAAAAACAACTTAATTCTAAATAAAGCTAAAAAATTTAAAAAAGAACTAAATTCCAAATAAAGCTATAAGAATTTTAAATCATTCACTGCTTACTTCTAAAAATTAACCAATGTACGTTGTAAACAGTACGCAGGCAATTTTAGAAGCTGAATATGGCCAAATTATAGCTAAAAAATCTAATTCCAAGAATCTTTCACAACGACTGTAAATCACGTACTACCAACAAAAACAAAGTGCGCTTTTTCTAGGTGATAAAACGAAATATAAGGCATAAATAAATTTATGCCTGGTACTACTCGTGACTGTAACTTAACACGTTCTTTTTAATTTTGTCAACAAAAAGCACATGAAATAGAACAGTCTCGACCAAGCAGTATAAAAGGTATGATCCCTCAATGAAAAAAACTTGTTTTCGGAAGTAAGATTAAAGTATAACTATTTCGTGCAACCTCCCATTTTTAAAAAGGATCCTGACTACAAAATGATAATAACGTTGTTGCCCAGAATAATTGAAATTTTAGATATTTCATTATTACAATAAATCTTATCTATAATAAATCCAGTTGCTCTCTGTTTTTCACAAAACAAAAAAAATGGCAAATTTTTAAATGACAAAATATGTTCATTTCCCTGCTAGAGGTTGACGGCGAGTAAGAGAAGATAGATCTACACACTTCTTCAGTTCCTTCCAGTAATATTAAAAGTACTATTCAAACAAAGTTCATACTTCAGTGGCAAAAGACTGCCTTTTCAACCCTTAACAAACTTGCCTGCGATAAATTCCAAGGCACTGAATATTTTTCATCGTCAACATTTGCCACAAAAATAAGACATTTCAGAAATCAGAGCTTATAACAAAAACTTTGAAAACGATTGCAATAAATGACTACACTTAAAAACTCTGTTGACCTCTCGTACAATCTCTACAATAACTCTGATCCAATAAAGTTAATAGTAATTATTTTAAAGTTTTTACAAAAAACTTAAATCCACTAAATCCATCAACGTAAAGGTGAAGGAAAAACCCTACGTTCAAGGAATGCAAAATAGACGTTTAGAAAAAATCCTAAAGTCACAAATCTAATTTGCTCTAACACTGACAAGTAAAGTATAAAAACTCGTCTTTTTGGCAGACGTTATAACCATCAAAAAACGTCTAACTGATAAAAGGATATTCACGTCCAAGCAATACGCAAAAAAAAAAATTCAATTTTGCTTAATCAGTTGGCTATCAAAAAAGTGACAATTCAGCGAATTCAGCCAAAATATTCATCCTACAAAACCAACATAGTCTAAGTTAAACGGAAACACTTTCTACCACAAAATATACTCTCACCCAAATGTGACGAAAAAACACCGACTGTTAGCGTCAAAAATTCATCTGGTGCGTTATATAGCGCTTATGACTGCTACCTAACTTGATAAGAATTTTTATCTATAAAATATCACAGTATCACCTGAAAAGTGCAAATAGTTCGCCTCCTACAGTAACTTTAAAAAAATAAACTTTATGCATGATCTGCATCCTTTATAACTGAGTGGCTACATGAAAGCAAAACTTCTTCGATCGCTGCAACGCTCCAATATCAAATTAAGAACAGAGAATATTAACTGTAGCTGTAAAAACTTAAAAAGTGAAAACAATTTCTGTTTTAAAAAGTATATCTGTATTATGAAAATCTAGGCCTTTAACTCCCCTAGTCTACTCAAAAAGATACACAGCACTTCAAGTAGACAGATTACCTTCAAAAAAGTTATTAATTTTTGAATTAAAAACTTACTAGATTTCTTATGCAAGAATATATAAGATATTCAAAAAGTTACCGAGTCAATCGAAAGTGGCATTCTGACGTTCCAGTCGACACTGCAGTTGTCTAAGGATTCGACTTGTCTCTGCAGGGATGGAGTCCAACAAAAACAACTTCCTAATTATGCCAAACAAATGAGCTGCAAATAAACAGCTATAAATGCAGAGATTGGACACGACCAGTAATAACACATACTTTTTATTGTACGAGCACACAAAAAGAACCCTAGAATTTAGTCACCAATGACACGTGCGAGTTACTGAAAGGTATATGAAATACAAGATGAAGCCCACAGTCTTTCAAAAGAGTGAGAACCAAAAATACTGAATTTGTTCAACAACACCTTAAACATTGAAATAAAGACACACTTCCACAGAAGCAATTATTGAACTTCAAACAGAACCTCCTAAACATAAAAAGCTTGAAATGCCGATTTCAAGTCCTAAATTAGTTTACTGAAAAGCCAAATCAGTGATTCATATTTGGAAGCAGATCAAATAAAAAGAAGTGATTAAGAAAATTTTTAAAAAATGATAATTCAATTCACTAAAAGAAAGCCAAAAGAAATAAAGAAAAGTGAAGTAAAATTTTACTCCCTCTAGTGAATATCAAATTAAAATACAGCGCTTAAAAAGTTGAAAACCTCCTGTTTGAAAACACTGTGAAAAAAGCCTTAAAACTGAGTTAGAAAATGCTTAATTAAACCTATAAGCTGTCCATTCAGTCTCACAAACTTCCAAACTCTGGTTTTTCCAATTCATCTCAGAGAAAAAAAAAATAGATCCATAACAAGTGCAAATCAGCAATCATTTCAATTTCTTATAAAGAAAATATTTTTTCTCCCTCAGCTTACTGTTTCGTTTGTAGCAATAATATATGCCGAGCAATTGTTTCGCTCCATACTGCAATTAAAAATTAGTAAAACAAAAAAGCAGATGATTACATGCAGTAAATGCAACCAAGACTGATCGCAAGAGAATCGGCAACAGTTGTTTCACCATAAATGTAAACTTTGTGCAGTTTGAAAGTGTAAGAAGTAGATTTAAGCAGAACACAATGAACGATCCTATCATTCGAGTTTCGCATTCCTAAATGGTTGTCCCCCCCTAACTGTTTTTTTTTTTTTTTTCAGATACAAAATTACTGCTGCTTTAGATACGACCAATAAAGCCTAAATTTTTCAACGTGCTAATCAGAAAATTGCCTACACTGACTGTATAAGCTTTAATAAATGTACATAAATTAGGCTAATACAATAGGAAAAAAGCTAGTTCTCAGTCCTGTGGTAATTTTTTGCGCTAAGTGATTAAATTCAAAAATTAAAAATGCTTAGACAG